AAAATCGTAATAGCTAACATTATAAATATAACGAGCATAAAATAGGAAGGTATTTTTTTTCTGTTTTACGAATTTTTAAATAAATTTGTCTTTTTAAAATTGACTTAGTGTCTAGATTTCTTAATTTTTCATGCATATTTAGCTTTTTTCTAGTCCATAAGTGCATATATATTTATTATTTATACATTTTTTAATAATTTCAATGACAATTCACAATCTATAAACAATTTTTAGGAAATTTTCAAAATATGATTAAAATACCATCATGAGTAAAGTGTAGAGAAAGAAATCCATCAGTTACACCTTCAATTTAAATATTAAAATAAAATATTTTTATATTACCTAAGTGAAGAATAAAAATATTTAATTTATGTTAAAATGTATTTTTACCTTTATGTTCAAACACTTTTTTCTAAGAACTAAATGCTGTAAGTCTGTAACCCAAAGTAAAAAAACAATTATTAATAAATGGGCAAACGTTTAAGAAAACATACTTCATGTTGGTAGATAATAGGTATACGTCATATGAATAAGTAAATCACTCTAATATTAAATATAACAGCACAAATTTAGGACTGTTAAGCTCAACACAACAAATTGTTCATGTTGTATGTTTGTAAGACAAATACAACACGTCATTCGAGTGTGGCATCCTCTTGGGATAATAACTAATGAGTAACTAAGTGTAAAGTATATACGATTTTGAAGTTTTTCATATCCAGTTATTGGCAGTTTCTGACTTAAATCTTAAATCTTAAGTTTTTCAATACGGTATACCGTTAACCGTGGATAAAATACAACGGACGCCGAGGCCGATTACTATAATTTATGTTATTCTGTCCTTATATTAGGTATTTAATAATAATTTTTATAATTCCTTATAAAATTATAAGAATTCGGACTAAATTATGTGTACTTATAAGAATGTAATATTAATAATCAGAGCTCTAGACTTCTAGCATTTGCATATTAGTTTGTAGCACAATCAAAGATAGCAGAGTAAGCTACAAATCCGTTTCATACTAAAAGGAAAGCAGCTTTAAAAGTTTTTTGTGCATATTTTTGCATATTTTAGTGTATTTGCATTTTTTCTGCTATTTTTATAAGTATCATGCTACTTTTTGCATATAATTTATTAATCTGCAAAAATTAAGTAGTTTTGGGGTTTGTACTCAGTGAGCGGCAAGTGTTAGTTTAAATTCCCATTTTACAAAAGTAAAATGTAAAAACGTGAAGACGCTTATTCGTCCTTACACCGTAAATAGGTATAAAAATAATATAATCTAAGTTTATCGACAGGGGTTGTTAATTATCTGACTATATTGAAATAATTAACGATGTAGAAAAATCATTTGAAACTCTACGAGGTCCAATTAGATTAAAAATACAGTCAAAATTAAAACAAGTGTTAGAAAAAAACACAAGTCTATCACTTTTGAAAAAAATTTCTTGCATTTTTTTGGGTATAAGAGATATCGAAGAATTAGAAGGTTTTCCAGATGATTTTTCTAGTAGTGATGTTGCATGCTTCAAGTTCGTCACTATCACATCATTCGATGTAGAACGTTCATTCTCAACATACAAAACATTTCTGATCAATAATAGAAGATCGTTCAAATTTGAAAATATTCACAAACACGTACTAATACAGTGCAATTTTCAAGGTATAAACAAAAATTTATAATTTATAAATAATTATAATATTTATTTACTTACTGATTCATTGAATTTTACCAAAAATGTTTGCAGAATGAAGAAATCATACATGTACAATGGACGACAAAAAGAATACTCGGGAATATTTTTTAAAGTTAGATTATGTAATTATTAATTAAATACCTATAAATAAATATTTTTAGAATTAGAATTAATCAAAATCAATTTTTTTAAATTTTTTTATTGAGCATATTACATTGCATATTTTATCATTTTTTAAGGCATATTGTAGCGCATATTTCATGGTTTTTTAGTCTAGAAGTCTCGAGCCCTGTTAATAATTATTAATTATTATTTATTTATACTTCACTTAGATTTAATAGTACGAGTATAATAGTTTTAATAGTGTAAGAGTGTAACACATGTGCTATGTGCATCATGCGTAAAAGCGTTTGGAGGGATTTTCTTCTTTGGCCGCCTAAAAAAAAATTTGTTTGAGCGAGTTCCTTATGGCTTATACTGTGTTTCAGTGTTTCTCGTTTGTTCGAGTATGATACAATATAAATTATAAAAGATAAAAGATAAAATATTAAATTATAAAGATTAAGATAAAATATTATGCTGTCTGATTAATGATTATGGCACAAATGTTGAAATGTGGGTTAGTTATTAGTTATTACTTACCTATTACGTATTTATGTATAGTTTACCAAATATGGATTTTCAAATTGAAAACAATTTTATACTACAAACTTTAATAAAAGATACATTTTGATTGAATGGATATCAAAAAAAGGTCACTCAAACACATCACAATAGTATAAAATCACTAGCCCAAATGGTAAACGCAATATGCTAAATATTGTCTAAGCATATTGCAATTTTTTACTAACTCGCCCAAACGCAACCCACCCGCTCAGGGCAAATAAATAAAACATTTAAGTTACCAAATTGCCTTCCAGTCGATATGCCTTCGACTAGTTACATCTGCACCCTGGTACTTAACCAACAATTATCTCCACAAAGATCTCGAAATCCAAAATCTCAACCAAATATCCAAACTTTACTACACCAGACTCCAAAACAAATATTTCAACAACACTTAAATCCACTAATCTCGAAATGATCAACTAACACACTTTACACACTCCCTGGTAACCCGCGCCGAAGACTCAAAAGGCTATGGACCTATGGTGTAGAAATCTACTTTAGTAAACGAGCTAAATAAATGCTGGAGGTCGCTACCAGGTAAAACTTCCGATCCTCAAATTAATTATCCATTTATTTATTATTGTCATTTTATTTTTTCTCTTTCTTTTTTCATTGTTATTTCTGTCACTTATAGGGTGTTACTACTGGGTATCTTCCCTAATCTTATTATTCATACCATTGTTACTTTTCACCTATCAAACCTACTTATTATACTAAGAACATGTATAGATTGTAGATTACTTCAAATAAATAATAAAAAAAAAAGTTACCAAATTATAGTAGACAATTAATTTACGATAATTTACATTCAGTTTAACAGAAACATATTCATTTTAGAAATTGTTTCATAATTGAAATTAAAATTCTCTAATTAATTACATACAATATGACTAAATATGACTTACTATAACAACATAATGTTCTATTAATAACGTAATTTTTGGTGGATACCTAGTAAAAAGATACGAAAACAGTAATAAATTCTTGGGTTGAATGCTGAGACAGGGAAGATATACATATATATGAAAATATAATAATTCTGTACAGTTTATATTTCTCTTTAATTATGTGCATAAATTAATAATCGTAATGGTTACGTTGGCCACATGTATGGGATTCTACATCGATGTATTTTATTTTCGTATTATTTTTAGTTTTTCTTAGATAAACAAACGTCATGTAGATTGTAGTCTGTAGATATACATATTACAAACATATTAATACATACATACAGATATTATAATATCTGATAAGTACTGCCGCCGTTCGCCACCACGCCGCTCAAAAAATACCGAAATATAAAAATTATACATTATATAGTTATAGACTAAACAGTAATTGTGTTATCGCTGTTTCTTCAACACTACTGATGAGTCATGTGTCGCGGGGTGCAGCGCTGTGCAACGACAGAAGTCGAAAATACGAGTCACAACTATATTTTTTTTTCACTTTGGTCATTGGCGTCTCGATCATTAATCTCATATTTGTGGTCTCGATTTGATCATATTATTATTATTATTATTATTATTCGACAATTGAAACATTTTGACAAACCATTAGAATCATTGCTACCCGAAGCGTGGACCTAACAATTTTATTACCGTAAGTACACTAATAAATGTTAATGTTGATACCTGATTAGATCTTATTTTTTATTTAATTTATAATACCTATATAATTAAATTATGTAAATTAACACTTGGTAGGTTGGTTGCCTGTCAAAAATATTATAGTTTTTGTGTAATTATTGAGTACTTGAAGTTGGCCCACTAACTTTGGTGTACTTTATCCACTCAAAATCTTTGCAAATATTTTCAAGTCTACTTTCAGAATAATTTACTAATTTGCCAATTTCTATTAACTGAAATAATTGGGATATAACACATCACGGAAACCACTAAGGTCACCAAAGTTGTCGTATGATTTCGAATTTTGTATTTAATGATAACATGTTATTTGCGAAAATTCAAGTTGTTATGTTTGTAGTGCTTAGAAAATAGCTTAATCCAGATAATTATTCAAATAAGAGAATATTTTAATCAAATCTTATTAAATTTCTGACTTCTCCTCGTTAAAATCTATATATTATAATTATATATATCTATGACATGCTACAACAAATGTTGTTAATTTATTATGATGATTACAACTTAATTATATTATTTTTATTTTTTATAGTCTACAATGTGACATCGCCTTATAGATATACCATTGATTTCAGATTTTATAGTTTTTATTTTAATTTTAATATCTACATAATATAAATTATAAATAATTTCCAAAATAAGACCGACCGATAATACATAATTGTATTTAAATTTTAAAGTATATTTTACAAAAAAAAAAAATTTTTCTGTTTTTAAGAATATTATTACTACATTTTATATTCGTATCAACGAATTTAGGATATCATCAACTGTCATTAGCGGTTTGTAGTACCTTCCTATCTACAGCGTACGATTTGTTATAATTTGTTAACCTTCAGATTAGATAACAGTACGAGTAGTAAGTTTACCAATTTACGTTAGTTTATACGATATTAAACATTAGTATTTAGTATATCAAACAATGTAATTGTATTAGCAGGACACCAATAATTAAGCGCGTCATCACTTCTACTTTCCCATGTTCGAGATATTTTTTTATCTTTATTGTAATAAGACTTATAATGTCCTATTCATCACTTATTAATCAGTCGGCATTCGATCCTCGACAGTCAGTATTCACTGTGTACTGTCTATAATTAATACAATCTGTCTGTTTAATTTAATTTAGACAAAAAGCAAAAAGTACTATATAACCTCATAACTCATAAGTATATAAGTACACATATTGGAACAACGACTGAAAGCAATATTATAATTAATATGTAAGTTGTTATTAATTTATCACACGAGTTAATTTTATTTTTAGATGCAGAATATTATTTTATTGTCAATTCCCCTTGTATCCAAGTTTATATTTTCATCGCGACCCTTAAATGATTAAAATATGATTGATTCATTTCGATCCTTTCTTTTCCGTGACCTTGCAATAGTATGTTTGTTCTTTCTTTCTAAAGTTAATAGTTATATAACATTGGTTGTAGTCGTGCGAGTTTATATTTAATCTTTTAGACATATTTTTATTCTTAAGTACCTAATAAATGTGGGCCCATGTTATTTCGTTTTGTAAGTATTTTTATACAGTTTCTATTCAAATTTGAATTCCGTACATAAGCATAACCAGTGGTGTACTCAAGATTTTTCAATAGGGAGAAGCGAAACATCGTGAAATAAAATGACCTAACTAATAGTAATGAATTATAATATAGAGGCTTGGCGTGACGCGTTGGCTGCTATATACCCGTCGCGGAATGCGACTGGGAGTAAGTAACGGCCACTGCTATTAGCTCCCGGATGGGTGACCACCCGGGTTCATAGTAGTTAAAAACCTTGCCACACATACACGTGTTTACTACCTACCATAACAACCGTAATAATTGTAAAAACAACTTACCGCGCCAACCTTATCCCTACCGGCTACCACAGTTCATAACCCCTACAACAGCTAATGGCCATAGTCACCGGGCTTCAGTTCAAAAAAAAAAAAAAATTCTAATATAATTTTATAAATATATGTAACATATAAATAAATGGTATTTAGTATGTAGCGTTTTATGATAAATTGTGATAGCTTGCAATGCAGGTATTAATAATTTTTAATTATTATTTTTTATATAACTAGCAGCTCCAATATAATTTTGTTATTTGGTCCAATTATCTAATTACATTCTCCTGGATGCCATTTGAAAAATAACTTGTTTATAATAAAAATTACGCTTAATATTTCGAAAACAATTACCAACATTTTTGACTATTATTTACTATGAACGTAGTAATTTTAAAATGATAAGGGTTTTTTTTGTGTGTCTATGTATGTATACGATGAGTAGTTTAAATCACGCTTAAATTATGCTTCGATTTTCAACTTCAGTATCTTTTAAGGTTGGAAAGTAAAAAATAGTTGATGCATTCGGGAGGTCAAAATTTAAAATTCCCAGTAGCTTTCAAAAGCGCCGGGAAAAACAAAAAAAATGAAGGAAAAAAAGAATTTTTTACACAAAATTGATGTAACTCTAAAAATTTTTTCTTAGATACACGAAATGAAAGAACTGAATATTTATATTAGTATTTTGAATGCACCATAAAATCTAACCATTAAAATATTTTGACTCATAATGAACTATTGATAGACATATACAATTTTCGATTTTTATAAGTTTTTTTTAAATTAATGTCGATAAAATATTTATTTGGTCTATCAAAAAACTTGAAAAATTTAGTAGGTACAAGGTTCCTTGTACATTTTTGTTAGTGGAAATTTTAAAAAAAGTTGAGCTTAAATCCACATTGATTTTTTATATTAAATTAAATTTTAAATTTTGAGAAAGTTAGAAATTCATAAAAAAATTTCTTTATAGTTGTAGTATGGAAATAATATTAATTTAGTCTAATGGGTACCTCTATTAATAATAACGATACAATAATATAATATAAAATATCCTAGGCCGACAAACCGTGTATCTGCCCAGAATCGTTTTTCGTATACAATGATAGTATACCATTGGGTTAAAATTTAACATCATCCATTCATCAACATTATCCACTTGTAACTTACTATACAGCAGTGCATCCCCTACTTACCCATTTTTTTAATTTTTATAACTAACACTTGAAAACATTTATGCAAGTGGTTTCTCATAAATTGTTCTTATAGGAACCGGAACATAATATATAGTTCAAAATACTCAGAAAAATATTCTGATTATGCATGAATATGAAATTGAAAATGTATAAAATATGTATGTCGTCATTCTAAAGAGCAAAAATCTTTAAAAAAATGTTACTCAAAATTTGTTCTGTAGGTTTATATAAACAAATTTAATACATTCATTACAATTTACAGAGACTTACTTAACTACAAGGGACACTCTACAAGTGCTATACGCCTTTTTTTTTTTACTAAATATTTATTAAAAAATTTTTTTTTGTAGGTAACTATTCTTTAGTATTCTAAATCATATTTTCATATATTTAAATTTTTAATTCAGAAAATGTAATGTTGTCGTACAAATTCTCTTATTAAATGACTCTTTTTACTATAACTTATGAAGCCGATGATTTTTTTGGAAACCGGTATACCATATATATAGTATAAAGTGTAAAATAAACAAATACAAATTTGATCTAGAAATAAATGTAAGCAGAATGACAAACCTAGAGAAAGTACCATGTTTATAGTGAATAGATTTATTTTTATTTTAGTTGATATTTTCAATGGGTAGTTAAGTGCTCATGAACTGAAAAATCATTAATAATAGCAATAACCTATTTTGCTGAAAATAATATTATTTCTTATTATAAAATCATAGATACTGAGCCTAACTTAAAAATTACAAATCTACCTATATATTATTGGATTGTCTAATATCTTGGGTATATTAAATAATAAAAATATTTAATATACAATCTCAATGTATTATTATTTGTAAATATTAATCATGTTATGTGTAACGCAAAAACAAGTTTAAAAACATAAGTTTGTACCTTTAGTTTATATTCTGATTTTTGGTGCACTCAAATTTGTAGTTATATCTAAATGTTTAAAAAAAAATAAAGCAATAAGTAACAACAATATAATAAACGGCGAATGACATACATTCTCCACTTATTATATTACTTACTCCAAACTACATTTGGGGTTTAAAATGCTTAAATGCACAAATATGCATAATAACAATAAAATAGATGTTGTTAAAGTAACTCATTCAAATATTAGCTTAATAATCATAATCAAAACAATGTGTACTCCTCATAATTAACTATCAATATCTAATCCATTATAAATTAAATTTTAAACTATTGACTATTGAAATTCTAATAACACATTTTTTTGTTATTTTAGATTCAGACAGTACGAGATTAACAATGCAGTCACTTATCCAAGTTGTGAATAAACTGCAAGATGTTTTTTCGGTAGTTGGTGAACAGCAGATCGTTGACTTACCACAAATTGTGGTTGTGGGAACACAGAGTTCCGGTAAAAGTTCTGTGCTGGAAAGCATCGTGGGAAAATCATTTTTACCTCGAGGAACTGGTGTAGTTACCAGAGCGCCATTAGTTATACAAATGATTAGGTACACTGAGGAAACTAGAAGATCCATGTTATTGACACATAACATCGAAGATAGTGAAAACATAACAGAATGGGTAGAGTTTCTACATAAGCCAAATTATTTTTTTTTCAATTTCGATTTGGTACGCAACGAAATTGAATCTAGAACAAACATTCTTGCAGGAAATAATAAGGGCATCACTAACAGTCAAATTTTATTGAAAATTCACACTAATCGCTATGATCTGACTTTCGTTGACTTGCCAGGTATAACCAAAGTGGCGGTTGGAGACCAACCTGACAATATTGATGAACAGATCCAAAAATTGATTTTTTCCTATGCAAAGCAGTCAAATTCTATTATTTTAGCAGTGGTGACTGCGAATACGGACCCCTCGACGAGTGAAAGCCTGCAAATAGCAAAGAAGTTGGATCCAGAAGGCATGAGAACTATAGCTGTAGTCACAAAATTGGATCTAATTGATGATGGAACATTACAAGATACAAAAGATCTTTTGTGTGGTCGCAGGATTCCAGTGAAACTAGGTATCATCGGAGTTGTTAACAGAAGTCAAAAAGATATCATTGAAAATAAATCAATGGAAGCAACGCTATCGTCAGAAACTGAATTTCTAAAAACTAACTATCCAGATATATGTACTAAACACGGCAATAAAGCGTTAGCTCGTACATTGCAGATGGTATTAATAACACATATTAAAAAAGTATATCCAAAACTTAAAGTTGAACTTGAGGAGATGAAAAATAAATTAGGCAAGAAATTGATGCTACTGCATACTCCTGAGAACAAAGTATCGTTCGTAATAGGACTTTTAAAAGATATTAGCAAATCGTATGAAGACACTGTGAATGGAAATCAAAGTGATGTTTCGGTCGATGAAATAATTGGCGGTGCAAGTGTTGCTAGAATAATCCAACAAAAATATTTAAAGACAATAAATGCTATAGACCCATTACAGGATTTAACTAATGAAAATATTGCAACGGTATTATTAAATACATCAGGTACTAACCAAAGTACTTTTGTCAACGAAAAAGCATTGCAAAAAATTTTAAGTCGGCAATTAAATAACTTAATTGAGCCATCGTTGGATTGTGTAGAATTGGTCCGCAGTGAGATGTTAAACATATTGAATTCCATTGATGTCAGATTGTTGGACACACTAAGGCGATACCCACAATTGAATGAGGACGTAAGTTGAACCTCAACTAATTGTTTTGTATCTGATTTTTTTTTTGTCGCAATAACTAATAATTATTTTAGAGGCTGAGTATTAAATAATAATATTGTAGATGCCCTTACTGAAACAAAATAGTATTGCGCCTCTGGTATTTAATTAGGTAATTAAATAAAAATTGTTTGGTTTTAGGTACGGCAAGTTTTTGAAAATTTGCTGGAAGAAAATGTAAATAATATCAAAGAATTTATTAGATCATACATAGAATCATATCAAGAGTGTTTGGATACAGCAAATCCAGATTTTATATTGGAAATAGTAAAATCAAATAATACAATTCAAGAAGAAATTCTAGCTGCTGCAAACATCAATAATTACAAAGATGACAGTGACTCTTCTTCCGACGGGAATTGGAAAGATATGAGCAAGGACAAAAAGATTGAAATTAATAGAATACAAATGTTGAATCAATTATTATCAGGTCTTAATAACACCGATGAATCTTTAGAATCGTCAGAACAAGTTAAATTACATAGAGATTTAAGTCAATGTTATTTTGAGTACATCAGGAAAATTGTGCGAGACTTTGTGCCTAAAAGAATAAAACACAAAATGATTAATTCGTTTTTAAAAGTCCTTGATAAGCGCTTAAATGAAAAAATTTTCCAAACATATTTAATTGAAAAAAAAATTGATGAAGTACTTTTAGAAGATGAAAGTTTCCAAAAGGATAGACAAGATCTTGATATCAAGTTGGACGCAGTTAACAAAGCTTTAAAAAGTATGATTGATATTCAATATTATTAATCTATTCTTTGAAAATATATATTTTTACTTTTAAATTTAAATTTACATGCAATACAACAATAGTTACTAAAAATAATGTTTGTTATAATTTTTAAAACAGGATTATTATATTTCTTAACTATATATTTGATAATATAGTATAAATGTCTTTTTATGCCCAACTTAAAGTAAAGTTAAATGTAAGGCATTTTTATTCTTTGTAACATGTGTTTTATTTATTTATTAACAAATTTTGGCGTTTATTCATTAACGACAAACCCTTAAAATAATAATTATTTTTAATTTATAATATTGTAGTGTGTACTTTTATTTGGTAAGTAAAATTTGTAAGATAAATAATTAACACCAAGTTTCACTAACTCAGCACATTTCAATAAACTAAAATTTAATTATAGAATAGAAAAGTATATAGATATATAATAGCTATTTAGGCTAAAAAATAAATAATATTTTTTTAAAAAATGTATTCAGTAAGAAAACTCCGATAACTTATTCTGCTGTATAGTGGATACCCTGATGTGTAGATATAGTCACTACAATGCAGGCATGTCAAACTCAAATTCATAGGCGTAACTATAAGGTGAGTTAGCGACGATCGCTGTTCCTGCCCTAGGGGTTAAAAACAGAATTAGGTTTTCCTAATCTTGTCCTATAATGCGCCCCACCGCAGATTGAGATCTATTAGCAACTGTAACGGTTCAATTTGGTCATGTTTGTAGGGGAGGATTGAAACAACTACCCCCCCCCCCCTAAAAAAAAAAAAAAATAAATTGGTTTAAATCATAAGCACCTCTCTAACAGCCATTGTGATCTTAATAAACTATAAAGTACAAGTATAAAAACATTTACGCATTAAAATAATTAATTACATACTATTTAATTAAGTTGTAAAGTACGCTTTCTTTATGTAAATTTGTACAAATACCTACTGCGTACGATACCAACCCCACTTGTAATTACGCCATTGGAGCGGTTACAGAACGATTGTCACAATAATATGTGACCTAGTTCTCCACCACTCGATTACCATTTATTATTATATTTTATACACATACTCAAAGGATATTATAGAAATAGAAAGTTTGTGTAGTAAATAAATCTGATGTTTAAATTGTAAAAAATGTGTGTGGTACAACTCTAGATGAGTTTCCTGATTTGCACCGAAGTATAACATTATAATTTATAATATAGTAATATAATTTTATTTATATTTTTTTTTTTATTAGAAATAAGGCTTCAACATCACAAGTTATTAGCCTAGCGTAAATTAAAAGTGTTTATATATTTACAAATATAATTAACAGTTATTACAGATATCTTATTGAAATGTGGAAGAAGGTAATTAAAAAAATAATTAAATAAATTAAATTCAAGGGAAATGGGCACTCAAACGGCGCAAGCAATTGTGATTATTACTTCACTATCGTTACTAAAAACTTATATTTATAGCTTCCGATATTTTGACCTACACCAAATACAACTGCTTGTCCGTATTCTTTTTTTTTGTTTTTTCCAATTATTAAAAAATTAAAAATAATTACATTACATCGATCCATAGTTAATTATAAATCCGAACTAGGACCAATTTTCTACCGGAAATCTTAATCATATATTAATGAAAAATGTTCTATTTATATCTGAAATTTGAAAATTTTTCAAGAGTTCTCACGATTTCCTACTTTTAACAAAAAAAAAAAACAATTTACCGCAGTTAAATACATTTTTTACGAGCAACTGAAATTAAAATATTTACGACATCAAATATTCACCCAATTTTTAACAGAAAGATTTTTTTATTTTGTTGTAATTCAAAAACTAAAAATCATAGATACTTGAAAATTTTATCAATTGTTTATATAAAATGATATTTCTACATTCAATACAAGGATACATATGAGTTGTTATGATAGCAGTTGAAAAATATTTAAGATACATAGTCATGATTTTTGTAATTATTTAATGTTCAAATTTTTTCAAACGTCTGAAGTGTAAGTGGTGTCGAGATCTCTTAAATTAAATTAAATTAAAAAAAAAAAAAAAATTTATAAATAATTATCAAGCCATCAGAAAGTGCTATCAATGGGTGCTTCTTTCAACAAAACCTCATGATATGAACCTTTATCACATTTTCTTATTGTGTCTAGTATGGATACAGATTTTAAATTACTTTTGAAAAAAAAAAAAAAAAAATTTACGAGATCATAATCTCAAAAATACAAATTAACAAAATATTCGATTTTTACAGCTAAGCATTTTTTTTAATAAAAATTCATTTTTATAGATTTTTAGGACATCAACGTCGGGGCTCTAATAATGATATATCATTGAATTAAAATTTAATACGTTCATTACACTATTACAGCGATCACCTCGACAACTATATAAGTGTCAGAGAGGTGGTAATGTGGTACAATGGTGAATGGTGATCACTTGCTCACCATTTTGACGATAATCTATTATAATTTTTATTTTTTAATTTGATAGATTTTTTTAATTAAACCGGCATCAAATCACTATTTTAAAAAATAGAAATTGTATTTAGTTATGTAAAAATAATAACTCCTATCAGTTTTTGTTTTACATAATAATATTATATCGTTGGTAGCATAATAAATTTTACATATTTATTTTGATATTTATTATTTAATATTTTATTGTTTTTTCTGTCATAATAATATGTACTAGCTTAATGTATGGAATCGATAGCCGGGGAGCCTGTGGAATCGACATAATTGTATACGAATTACAAATGTTCGGTGGAACTGATAAACACCCCCCCTATACATACAATAAGCATATTCACCATACGTCCATACACGGATACAGCCGATACACTATACAGGCATCCGGTAGTGTCTAGTGCCATGGTGATGACTGAGTAGGAGACAGGAGATGTATAAATAGTAAATTAAAGCTATTAAAAAACTAGTTCCACAATTTTAAAAAATAGTTGGATATGTCATATGTGGATTCGTACTTATTGCTTAGTTTTATTTCATCAGTTTAATTGCTTACTAATGTTCAATGTAGGTATTATTAATTATTATGGTTTTTCCAATGCCACGTTATTTATACTTATCTGTGGCCTTATTAGTTATTATAAAGTTATAACGATATCTGAGTGAGTAGGGATTACTGATTAGGAAAATGGATACCTAATGTCCTAATGTCATAAGAGGCTATATAGAGGCTAATATGCAATAGCCATTGGGTGATACGTAACGTATTGCTATTTGCGACGTGCGACTTGCCGTAGAGGTTGATCATTCTGTAATTCTAAAATCTAAAATCTGTATATTATATAAGAAAATTAAAATTGTAGTTAAGTATAACTGTATAAGAAGATATATTTTAAGGTTTTATATATTTTTTGTCCAACTGTGCCTTTCTAATTATTGGTTATTAGTATCGAGTATTCATTAATCACTATTCAATGTGTATGAACTTCAAAATCTTATGTTATTTTTCTTAGATAGCTTCCACATTTCTACATTATATCATATACTCATTGTGAAGAAATTCAATCATTTTAACTGCATGGCTGCATTGTTGTATTATTTGTAAGTAAATTTATTAAATACCTACTTATTCAAATGTCCAATATACATAATATAAGTGCTTAGGTACTACTTATGTATAGGTATGTTATACCTTTTTTAAATTGTGAGTATTAATTCCTATTTCTCATTACCCTAGGTACTTTTTTCTGTAAGATATCAGAAATTTATACCAAAATTGTTACAGAATATGTAAAAAGTGAAGATTTTGTGATAATAGAATACGTTTAGTCAAAGGTAATGGAAGAAAATTATTACTTTATAGCATATTATAACTTATAATGTACATATTTGTTTATTTTAAAAGAAATAATATGATAGCAGTCAATTTTACACTATTCAATGTTGGTCTAGCCGACCAGTTACCCGGATTAGGGCACTTGGATATTTAATAATTTTTCAATACTGAGGGTCCATTGCCTAATGGGAAATTACTATTTAAACTATTTACATTATTCAATACTGATTTAAAGTTGCAACACACTGCACTAGCGGTGGTAAAATTATTTTATCTTAGTGGTGCCACCACTACCACTGCAGTGTGTAGGGATCTTAATGAGTCGTAACTCGGACAGTTAAAATTGTTTATTAACTAATGACAAAGTCTTAGTTTATTTAACTCATTGTGCATCTAAGTAAGTTCTTAAATACTCCCAGCACTTACAATTTTTTTCAACTTAACATAGATTTTCAATAAGCCAACAATATCTGTATCATTTGACTTGTTGGTTTGTTGTAGAAGGCATCATTTACTTTATAAACATAGATGCAATTATTGATGTGTTAGGATCTCTGCTATGAATTAAAATAACTACTATTTTTATAATAATAGGTACCTATATAATTTTCTGTTATATGTTTACAATGTTTTATAAAAACAAGTATCTAAAACATTGTTGATTATAACTTTTTTTAATAATTTAGAATGACAAATAGGTCTAAAGCAATAAATTATTTTTATTGCAATATATTAAGACAGATCATTTTTTTATTTAGTAAGTTTAGTGCTTTGGTACCTATTCAAAATGATGCATAAATAAATAACCAGGAGCCCAGACCAACACTGGACTCTTAATAATAATAATGATAGTAATAATACCTATACTTAAAAGGATGCCATGCCTAACCTAACCCGCAATAGTACATTCTGAATATTTTATTTAACTCTATTATGTTTAATTTTAGAGTGAATTGGCCTATTATTAAATTTAGAAGTAAGAAAAAAATAATGCTCAAAATTCACTTTGAAATTAAAAAATAAAAAGACATCCATGTCATTGACTATATAGTAGATAATATTTTAATTTCCAAATTTGTTTTAAATAAATATTAATTTGATGATGGCTAATCAATGTTGTTAAGGACTATTGCCAGTTCAAACTTAGTTATTTCCTATTAACCATCAATGGTGAACCATCGTACTTACTAATTCTGGTAACACTACAGCCAGTTTAATTTCTAAAGTAATTGAGTGTTGTGAAACCAAATTGGTTGAAAAAAAAATGTACTATAATATATTTTTAAAGAATAGTGTTTTGCTTTAAATTATACTTGTAACAATATCTTTTTTAGGTTGAACTTGAATTCCGGTATTAATATTCAGACAAAGAATTCAAATAGTATACTCAAATATTAAGTTAAAAAGTATAAAAAATTAATTTTTTATTTGGAGTGCTATTGAAAAAGACACATTTACGACCAGGTAAATATTTAATGATTATTTTTCTTTAAAAAAATTGAACTATTCTTAACCATGAGCTAACCTAATCATATTATCTTTACAATATTATTGTACTTACATAATGATGTGTTTCTGAAAATTCTGGGTTAAGTTACCTTCTGTCGAACAAGAAATGATGTGTACAGATTAACCATAACTTAATAAAGGGCTGGTGTGTCTATTCAACCCATTGAGCTAAAAATAAAATTTTTATAAATAAATAATGGTGGAGAGGGTGTTTCAAATCATTTTTGTGACTTTTTGTTTCTCATTAACATAATTAATTTAGAGCTTAGGCATGTTTTCATTCCAAATGCAAAGTAACAACTCATTTTGTAAAGTGATAATATTTTTAAAATCTGATTTGAATTTATTCTAAATTCTATTTGAGATTGACCTCCTAGCTCTTTCGATTTTATCATTCTTAGTTCTAAAAAATATTCTGAAAATTAAAAATGAATTAATTGTCATACTACAATTCATGGGTGAGTTAAAAACAAAAGACATTACAATAAATTTAAATCTAAAATTTTCAGATTTCTTATTGCTTCATTGAACCAAATGATTAGTTGGAATGAAAACACATAAATTAACATTACTTCACCGCTTACCTACTAATATAGAGTCTCGGTAATCCTGACATCTGGATAATCCAGACTATCTATATTTCATACTTAAGTACTCATGTTATGTGTTTGTATTATTATTTCAAGTGATTTCAGTCTTATTTTCTTTAATTTTCTTTAAATTTGTATTGATACGTGTATATATGTAATACATATATCACAATAATAACAAAAATAATGTGTAATGTAAAATTGTAAATCAAGAAATTTTGAATTTGTATAAATACATGAGGTGAGGTGTTTTTTATTTATATTTATTAGTAAGTTAAAAAAAAACTTCATTCCATTTAATCCATATAGAGTCCGGATTAGCTAGACTACTATATATTATATTTATTTTTAAATTATAGCAGCTAACCATGAGGCTTGATAATAAATGTAAGAAACTTATAAAAAAATTGTTATTCTGATGCTGTGAGATGCTCACTGCTCAGGGTCCTTAGGGCCCACCACTAGCCGGCTGGGGATCCAGAATAGTGGGAGGTCATTCCGATGACCGGGTTGACCAACCGACGTCAACTTAAAACCTAGTCGGTGCCACGGGAGAGGGGAGCCCCATCACACGCTATACGGCTCGCCGTCAGAAGCGATGCCCCTCAAGGTTGAGGAGCCTACCTCGGCTGAAACGTGGTGGTTGTGGGACCAGCGCTTGATAGTAGAACAGCAAACCACTGCACCTAGTGGGAGGTCTGGTACTCAGGTGGCACTTAATTGAGTCATCCCGGACCTCAAGAAAGGACCCTTGGGCCCGGTGCCGGTGACAGAAGACCCTAGCCCGGCGGCGCTTGTGTCGCCGCACTAGTTCCACCCTCGCCCGTAAGTAGCGCTAAGGCATGGACGAGCGGCAATAGGCGAGAGCCAAAAACCCGGAGACGACTGCTCAGGGTCCTATTATTAGTCATAATTAAATAATTTGATTATTAGTTACTATATTAATTAACTTTTTATCAGTACATAAAAAAAAAATTTTTAATAAACTTTTTATAGCTCCCTCAATACATCATGTATCCAAATTTCGTTATCTCATAACATAATTTAAAAACCAACTAATTTTAATTTAGCCTAATAATATCAGTTCAGAATTTTGTTTTTCATCTATTTCTCAAATAAGAGCTCCTAATATTGTCTAGTATTGTTGCAATTCTAATTATTGAATTTTATTTTTTATCAAATTAGATTGACAGTGTGAACTGACTATGGATTCACTTATACGAATTGTAAATAAACTTCAGGATGTTTTTTCTGTGTTTGGTGAACAGCAACTTACTGATTTACCTCAGATTGTCAATTTACCACAAATTGTGGTAGTGGGAACTCAAAGCTCTGGAAAAAGTTCAGTTCTGGAAAGCCTTGTTGGAAAATCATTTTTACCTCGAGGAACTGGTGTAGTTACTAGAGCACCATTAGTTATACAGATGATTAGATACACTGCAGAAACTAGAAATTGCATGTTGAAATCAAATAACATTAAAGATAGTGAAAACATAACAGAATGGGTAGAGTTTCTTCACAAGCCAAATTTATTTTATTTTGACTTTGATATGGTGCGCAATGAAATTGAATGTGAAACAAACAATCTTGCAGGAAATAATAAGGGCATCACTAACAATCAAATTGTATTGAGAATTCATACTAATCGCTATGATCTGACTTTTGTCGACTTGCCAGGTATAACAAAAGTGGCGGTTGGAGACCAACCTGACGATATAGACGAACAAATACAGAAATTGATTATTTCCTATGCAAAGCAGTCAAATTCTATTATTTTAGCAGTAGTGACTGCGAATACGGATCCGTCAACGAGTGAAAGCCTGCAAATAGCAAAGAAGTTGGATCCAGAAGGCATGAGAACTATAGCTGTAGTCACAAAATTGGATCTAATTGATGATGGAACACTACAAGACACTAAGGATTTACTGTGCGGTCACAGAATCCCAGTGAAACTAGGTATCATCGGAGTTGTTAACAGAAGTCAAAAAGACATTGTTGAAAATAAATCAATGGACGCTACGCTAGTGTCAGAAACTGAATTTCTAAAAACAAACTATCCAGATATATGTACTAAACATGGCAATAAAGCATTAGCTCATACATTGCAGATGGTTTTGATAACGCATATTAAAAAAGTATATCCAAAACTTAAAATTGAACTCGAAGAAATGAAACATAAATTGGGAAAAAAACTTTTGGTACTACATACACCAGATAACAAAATATCGTTTTTAATAGGGCTTTTAAAAGATATTAGCAGATCTTATGAAGACACTATAAATGGCAATCAAAACGATGTTTCGGTTGACAAAATTATCGGTGGTGCTAGTATTGCTAGAATAATCCAACAAAAATATTTAAAGACAATAAATGCCATTGACCCGTTACAGGATCTATCAAACGAAAATATTGCTAAAGTATTATTAAATACATCAGGTACTAACCAAAGTACTTTTGTCAACGAAAAAGCATTGCAAAAAATTTTAAGCCGGCAATTAAATAACTTAATTGAGCCCTCACTGGATTGTGTAGAATTGGTCCGCAGTGAGATGTTAAACATATTGAATTCCATTGATGTCAGATTGTTGGACACACTTAGGCGATACCCTCAACTCAATGAAGATGTAAGTTAAGTCTCAATTTATTTATTTTATATTGATCATACTAGGTGATTGTTCCTTAGTGGCTTATTAAATGCATATGTATAATTTTTTTTCATACTATTAATTACTAGTGTTGGCCTACAATATAATTTTAATTATTGATATCTTTTCTCAATATTGTATCGCTATATTTAAATATTGATAATTTTGATTCATCAATGCATAAAAATATTTAAAAAACATTTATATTTTTAATTTTGTATTCTTTGATAGGTAATTTCAAATGAATTAATAAATAAAATGTTAACTCTTAAGTTAATTACTAATTTGGTTATCTTATATAATAAATGGTAATTAATAAAAATAGAAATAATCAATGAACAATACCAAATAAATTATTAATTATATATTGATTATATTGGAATATGGATATCGTTGGAAAACACTAATAATTACTGTATAGGTAGGGCGACATTAATAAAATAGGTAGTCATTGCTGAACTAAAGTTATTTCATGACTGGTATGTAATTAAGTATTTAAAAAATAATTTTATGATTTAAGGTGCAAAAGGTTTTTGAAAAGTTGCTGGAAGAAAATGTGAATAACATCAAAGAATTTATTGCATCATACATAGAATCTTATCAGGAATGTTTGAACACAGCAAATCCAGATTTTATACTGGAAATAGTAAAATCGAATAATACAATTCAAGAAGAAATTCTTGCTGCTGCAAATATAAGTAATTGCGTTAATGAAGATCCAACAGATAATCATTCAACACAGCATTGTTTTACATTCGGAAAGCCAATTCCCCAGGCAATTGCTCAACCAATTCCTGACAAAATGGCCCAACTCAAAAAAATAGAAATTAATAGAATACAAATGTTGAATCAATTGTTATCAGGTCTTAACAATCAGGAAGTAACTTTGGAATCGTCTGAACAGGTAAAATTACATAGAGATTTAAGTCTATGTTATTTTGAGTACATCAGGAAAATTGTACGGGACTTTGTGCCTAAAAGAATTAAACATAAAATGATAAATTCGTTTTTGAAAGTCCTTGATAAGCGCTTAAATGAAGAAATTTTCCAAACATATTTAATTGAAAAGAAAATTGATGAGGTACTTTTAGAAGATGAAACTTTTACAAAAGATAGAAATAATGTTGAAACCAAATTGGATGCAGTAAGAAAAGCTTTAAAAAATATGGTTGATATTCAGTATTTTTAATTTATTCTTTCAAAATATAAATTTTTCAAAAAAATACATTATCATAATATAATGATTAATGGACATTTGTTTAAACAGTTTCTAATTTAATTTTTCATGTTACAATAATATTTATATTAATAATTTATAATATTATAATTATTATTTATTTTTTATGGTTAAATTCAAAGCCGTTTTATTTTATAATTCATAATCATAAACCATTCTAAGACTATTATAATTGGTATTGTATTTTTGTAAATTATACTGGTGCCTTTCAAATTTTGTGTATACTGTATAGGAAACATAATATTTATAGTATAATATATTAAATTCTAATTCAACAAAAAAGTATAAACTGTAATACAATTTATGTTTTTGTATTTGTATAAATAAATAAATTATAAATCTTAGTCATTCCATATAAATGTCATCTGCTTTATAATTAACAGTAAAAAAGGTGTGCTCCTCATTTGAAATTGAAAATAAGTTTTATTATAACTTATATATTAAGTAATTGTTGTAAATCGTAATATTTAATGTTATGTTTTTGATAATGTATTATTATTACTCATTAATATAATCTACTCCTGATTAAAAATTGTAGATATAATCATATAGAACAGGCGTACAGCTGCAGATTTACAGGATGATTTTTTTATCTTTGAACACGGATTATTTTAAAAAGTATAAATGTTTTTGAAAAGTAAAATTACATGGTTTCTAGTCGCTAAAAATAACAACATTTTTTACTTTTTTGAATGACGATTGACAGTCTAAATTTCATATTCTAAAGCAGAATATAAGTAGGTATTTAAAGTATATATATTATATAAGCTTAAGCTATATATAAATTATACAACTAGAATAAAATTCGTAAACATTTCACGGGCCCCCCCCCCTCTTAGTTGCACCACTGCTAACAAATAAAAACACAAGATTGGTTCTACTTAAGCTTAACTCAAATTTGATATTTTGTATATTTGTTAGTCTGAAGAGACAACATATAAGCGGCATTTTTTTTGTTAATTTTTACTCTCAATCAGACCATAATTTTATGAATAGTATTAATAAAATAATAAACCCAAGTATAATAAATTAACTTTAAAATTCAATTTTGTTAATAAAATAAAAACATTTGCTGTATTATTTGGGTAGAAGAATTTTAATTTTCTTCAAATAATTAGTAAGTAAATAAATAATGAATGTTTACAAACCCACCTAGTATTATAAAATCATTGTTGGTAACATATTTAATCGATTGTCCTTGATAGTTGAAGTAATTACGCGGGTCACTGGTCAAGAATGATATTGAAAATGCAATCAGTAGTAAAATATAATATTTTAAGGTTGTCAGATCGAGCAACCTAGGTGCTAGCCGCTAGCTATACCACCTATAATGTATCATGACATTTTGTTGAAATTCTCAGAATTAATAATATTCTATTTCAGAACATGAATTTTAAAATATATGCGATGTCATTTAATAAAGTAAAAAATATTAGATTCCGATAAAAAAAAATATAATTTTTAGACTCACAACACTTAAAATAATAAGTTGAGAAAATGAGTGTTTACCTTTAAAAGAATCACCCTCGCATACAGCTGTGCCGCAGTATCATGTTTCTATCGATGTAATAATTGCGTTTGCGTGTATATAATGTGTAGGTACATACAACATACTACTACATACAATATTTATATAATGTACAATACACTTAAATACATACTATCCACATTTAATATGTAGGTTTAGCGTATAGCCGTGTAGGTAATAAACACGTATAGGCATATTAGGTAATCATTGTTCGTTTCAAGGTGTATTGAAATTCGCCTTGGGTGCCAGTTTGGCACTTTGGCGGGTAGGCCGTAGACACATCACATAATATATAATGTATAGGTACATATTTTCTTATTCGTCAATATTCTTTAGAAAAACAAGATGCCTGTTTTTTTGTTTACCAATAAATTAAAATGGAATTACAGTTTCATAAACACATGGAACATAATAAGTTATGGGTAGTAGGTAGTAGGTACCTATAGGTTATGACTAGTTTTATACTTCCTAGTTAGTAAAGTTCCTGCTATATCACATAATAGGTACCTATAGGTATCTATTATTTCTACTTCAGATCATATAACACTGTACAATATATAATCTATGATATTGACCGTCTTACCGACTACCAAATTATAAATATTATTATAATAAATAATAATTAAGCAAATTACAGCAGTGGAGGGTCAAATTTCTTCCCAGTCACAAAAAATGATTTGTAACTCGATCGTCTTATTAAGTTGTATATAAAGAACTGTATGTACTGACTACTGAGTCATACATTCATAGTACTTACAACTTACTACTATTATATATTATAGAGTAGCCAAGATTTCTCCATAGACATCAGTGTCGGTCTGGGATCTAAAGGGTTCAGGAGGCCATAGGCGGAGATCTTGTGAAATATTGAGGGGGGCTCAAATATTTGATGACAAACAGACCCGTGGGGGGCATTGCCCCCTCACCCCCAACAAACTAATTTTTACATTAGATCACTCATACAAAATTGTTCTCGTTGACTCGTTATCATAACAACTTAAATAGTTACAGACATAAAAAAAAGAATAATTAATAAACGATTTAAATTTAAATATTTCATATATATTTGAACTAAATTATTTATTAAAAATCTAAATCACAATCTCAAAAGAAATGTATTCCCAAGAACATCAAACAATAAGTAAAATATAATTTAGTATAAAATGGTCAATACGGTTAACGATTCATTCAATCGCGATAAACTTTACGATAGGTTTAATACAGCTATAGCGATAGTCCTATAATAAATAATAGCTATCGCTTCTCGAGAATTAACAAAAATTAGGAAAAGAAATAATATTTTTCCCATCTAAAATAGAATGGTATAATATGTTATTCAATATAGATGGCCAATTGATACAAAATATGTACAATATTAGGTATATAAACACTATATAATATTATTGTGAATTGTGACTTAATTGTTCGGTATGTTACCGTAAATAATAAATTGGTAAATAGTGTGTATGTAATGTACTAGGTACACTTATATAATTGTGGATATAAGAATATAAAATAGTGAAAAAAGTTCTGCAAACTGTACAAAATTACGGTATTGTTTGTTTAATATTCTTGGGGGCGGATCTTTAACTTCAAATCATTTATTTTGGGGGGGACTAAGCCCCCGTAAGCCCCCCCCCGATCTCCGCCTATGCAGGAGGCAAATAATTCAAAGGGTCTCTCAAAAATACCAAAACTCAAAAAAATAATTTTTTGACAGTTTTCATTTTAGTAGTAAAAAAATTTCAAATTTTAATGTTAAAAATATCTATATGACTATATTTATACAATATGTAACCTCAAAATGTAATATATATAAAAAATTAAAAACTATATAATTGAAAAAAACTAGATAGTCGTATAGGTAACACAATTTATACAAGTAATCCTTTTAATAAATTTGATGAGTGACCCACATGTCAATCAATTTTTCTCGGTCAATTTCTTTATCTTTTTCTATAGCCATCATCATTAACTGATCCAAATTTTCTTGTTTAATGGTTGTAATTTTGTTTTTATAATCTTTAATTTTGAAAAAACTCTAAAACTCTCTCATGAAATTTGTGTAGATGGTAAAATTAATGTAAATTTGTAAACTATAAATAGATTACAAAACAGATTTGATTGAAAAGATAATTCTCGAATTATTACAAAAACACAATAAATACAATTTCTGCATTTATTACAATCAGGTTTTTTTGTTACATCATCTTCACTCTCAGTATCATTCATAAACCTTATACTATAGTTACCACTATACTTAGTATACTATACTATACAATAAGGTTTATGGTATCATTAAATGATTCAGTTTGATAATTTGTAACATTTCTTTAATTAATATCATTAAAAGATAAATTTGGTAGGACATTTTTGAATTGAGAAGCAAATTGTTTTAGCTCCAAGCTAAATTATGTAATGGATCCAAACCCATACCACTGGGCTATATATAGTAGATAAATTTTGGTAAATAATTTCATTTATTTTTTGAAAAATAGGGGTCGGTGCCTCGGAGGCGATCGCCTCCTAGCCTCCCGGGCCAGGTCGAGTAGAGGTCGACACCACGGATTAATATATATCGACACTGAAAGACATAATATACAACTAGATATCCAACTACAGGTTAATATTGAAGTCGGCAGCCATATGCCAACAGGGCAAATTTGCATGAGTGATAATATATAAATTATAAATATATACCATATAAATGTGTATATCTCTTGATCTATTCACTATTGTGTTGTTTTGTAAACATTGCCAAATTGGCATATGGCCGCATGACTTAAACGTTCCTGTGAAAATGTAATATGACGTGCAGTCCGCTATCTAGTTTTTGTATTTTATGTCTTCTGTGTATTTATCATAGACCAGTGGGCTGTGACCAATTGCATTTGGATGTCCCCCCCCCGTCAATTTTAACGGTGCTGGACGTCCCCCCCCCCGGACAGAGATATTACCCACCTGAATCAACATATACATTTTTTACACATAATAATATAGGTTGGAAAATAGGTTCTTCGGTTTTACTCGAAATATACAATCATCATACTGCATCTATTGACTATTATCGTTCACGTTTTTATTGAAGCTCTACAGATGAGCAGCTCAAGTGCATCAATAAACATTTTAAATTGTAAAGTGGAGCTTTCCATTATAATTTAAGTAAAGATGACAGGTTAAAAAAGTTTTGTGAACGTTTTTCAAACGATGATATTTAAAAATTTTAAATTGTTGTGAGCTTTGTTACCAGAATAAAAAATAATTATATTTTAGGCTTATTGATTTGTATTATTTTATTTTGTATTGTATATGTCAAGAGTGTTAATATGACGTGATTATTCCTTAAGATATATTACTAGAATAAAAAATATAAGTTACGTTTTTTATATTTGCATTATTTAATTATATCATATTTATATAAGTATCTATAATTTGTATTGACATTTGACAAATAGCAAAGGTTATATGACGTATTATTGAATTATATTTATATATTAATTTAATAAAATTGTATTGAGCACATTTATTTGCATTGTATATTATTATTAATGTTAAATATTTTTATTTTTAGACCGGGGGAATTTGTCCCATTCGGCGGGGAAACGTACTAGATTCACGGCAATGACCATGACAAAATCGATTTTGCAATTGTTCTGTGGATATATTATTCTATAGATCAGTGATTTTGTCACATGTCACCTTAGATCATATACATGCATATTATGATCTAAGCATGTCACATGTGTGTTATCACCATAGACATATATAAGCAAAAGTTGTTTATTTATGTCTATGGTTATCACAATATAACGTAACGTGATAAGATATCAAATAGTTAATTTTTAATAAATAATAATGTAACTAGGACCTGGTATAGTAAGCAAGCGTAGTACATATCTTATACTATGATAGTAAGTTAGATCAGCCGTTAAGATTCCAGTTCCAGACCGTCTAGAAACTATTGCTTGTAAGTTGCTATATTCTGTGGTCCAGGAACCAGAACTTACAATAAAAAATACAAATTAATTCCTACGTTTTGGTGACGTCGTAACATACTTAGAACATTAAATAATATTTTGTTAATATAAAAGAAGAATATTGACATTTGCACATACCTAGGTAATATATTAATATTATAATGTTATTCTTACTACTGTTGTAATTTAGTATTTCATTAATGTGTAATCTACAAAATGTAATACCAAATTATATGTAAACAGATAAACTGTTTGTACATGCTCTTTATTTTCAAGTAAAACATAAGCAAGTACCTATTTTATTTTTTATTCAATTTATACAAAATTAAAACTATTAATACATTATTGTACTAAATTGTATAATTAGTTTTCATAATATATAGGTAATCCAGTACGTTCAAAAACATTATATAACTAATTCTCGTTTGAAATTTCGGAAACAAGAATAGGTTAAATATTTCAAAAATGTAATTATGCATGATATACTGGCATCATGAGTTTTTTCTACCTTGTCTTGAGTTGACTAACAAGTAACAACTATGACTAGCTCTAAGGAAACATTCTATAACACTACTGTTAGGCAGGTAGGTTAGATTAGGAATATTAATATTTATAAATTATTAAACATATATTATATGTATGAATTCTGCTTTAAAAATGTACTTAAACAATTGAGTATTTGTAGTATTTATGATGTCTGAAAAAGATTAAATATTTAATAAAATATTATATGGATAATTATAATTTAAACTTTGAGTACTTTGACTCAATTACTTTTCGTTCCAACAATAATATTTAATTTATAATCATAATAATCATATAAAATTATAAATTAAGAAATAAATAATTATTTTGTTTGTTATAGATGAATTTACATTGTTTACATGTGAAATGAATTCAACTGAAAAAATTCTAAAAACATTGAGTACAGATCAAATTTCCCAAATTGTTGCTGGTGTGCAAGCAGATTTGGATGATGAAATGGTCAAAACTAAAAGAACACTGGATCAAATTGATCAAAATATTTTCACTTGTATTAACAATTTAAAAAGACTCAGAAGAAGCATCATAATATCACATTACGCAAAAATGAAAAATAATATTGATGGCAATAAAAACTCTCAAAGGGATGCCCTTCTCAAAAACTTAGATTGTGAAGACGAAGCAAAAGATTTAAGTGTATTTATGACAAATTTGAGTAATGTATCAACTAAAGTAAAAACCGAACCTATGAGCAACATTGAACAACTAAGCAAAACCATCTCACAAAATGATTTCCCTTCTGGAAGCTTTATTCCTAAGACTGGATTAATTGATCTAACATTTGTTATTGGAAATATTGTTAAAATAAGTGATTCTGAAAATGAAATGAAATACAAATGGACTGTTTATGTACGCAATGCAGAAGAAGGGGTTGACAATTTGGTTTATATTGACAAAGTGACATATTTCTTACATGAATCCTATGAACCCAACCATATTGTAGATGTAATTAAAAAACCATTTTCATTAACAAGACATGGATGGGGAGAATTTGTTATTCGTTTACGTTTGCACTTCAAAGGTAACATGAATGTTCAAACTGATGTATATCATAAACTGTGCCTGAATAAGGACATAACAGTCGGTATCCCAATGGTTGCTAAAGAACAAACTGTTAAGTACAAATTATTGCTGCACAAATAATATGTTTTTTGAATGTATATTTAGTATATTTTGTAAATATTGTGTACATAGATATACGATAACTATGAATTATAATGTATTGAACCTTAAAATTATACTTTACTTTTAACTATAATTATATACATAAAAAATCTGATACAAAACGAAAGCTTATAAATTATTATTTATCTTTAATTCCACAGTACTTCAGTTAGAATTAACTGGGGCCTAATATATTAATTCTACATTTATTTCCTTCATTTTTACTACCAATACCGCCTATATTGTATTTTCCCAATCTATAAATTTACAATAGTACTAAATTATACTCAAAGGTTATTTTAACAATAAAAATAATACATAAGATTAAAAGTTTAACTTTTAAATTGAGTACTTCAGCATTTGTAGAGTGTAGATATTAACCCTTAACAGGCGAGGCCCGGTCACCTGTGAGTTGTGACCAGTATGAGATAAAACACTACAAACTAGATTATATTATTAACTATTAAGTACTGGTTTATCCTATACCCTTTGTTTATCTAAAAGATAAAAAATTTCATTTTTTTTTGTTATTAATATGTAAATATAAGAATTATTAATTATAGTCAATAAAGAATAAGTGAAATTTAAAAAAAATATTGACTATTTCATATCCATTCAACAAAAATTTAATAAATAATCATCGTCTTAATATATTTCCTACGTAGAATAAATATTAAGAGCACACAAAATACTAATTAAAATCTTTGTTCGTGATTCTTAACAAATTAAAATTTATTTGATATTTAAAAGTTTTTTTTAGAAATTCCAAATTTCTCAAAATCTCAACGGACGTCAGTGATACATTGATACCTTTTATCACGTATATCGAAATTGAATAACAGCTGGCATATCTTATCTATATTCTATATCATGATAATAGAGAGACGTCTGCGGTACGTTCGTAGTTAATAATTTGGAGTTTTGGGAGAGTTCCACAAGCTCATAACTTCAAACTGTATAAAGAAAATTACTACTACAGAGATTTCTTTATTAATAACTTAAATCTCTATAACTATAGTTGTCAGGTGTACAAATTAAAGTAATTCAATCAAATACTGTATATATCATATATAGTATTTGATACTTACATTTAAAAATGAATCAAAAACCAGAATCTTCATCTAAATGTCGAACAGTGAGTATCCAAATTTGTTAAATAGTAAATACCAATTACAACTTTTAGTCATAATATATTGTTTAAAATATAGTGTAGATATAGTTAACAGATATCATTTTTACTTAAAATTCTTTCATTTACGTTCATATTTTCATAAAATAAAATTTCAATCTTTGGTGTACACTTAATAACAACTGATAGACCATGGTAGATTGTGGTGGATATTAATTTCAGAAGATCTGGTACATTCAGCACCATTTTGGTGGATTAACAAATCATGGCCCAGTTTCTTGAAGAAGTATTTCAGGACAAGTGTTGTTACTGGGTTTGATCATCACAATAATAATGTCCCACTATTAAACATTATGTTTGAGTAAATTTGGCTTAAGTATTATCATATTTATTATAAATGTTTTTAATAGGTTTAATAAAAATATTATGTGGTATGGTAATGGGTAAAAGGGTCACTATCATTTTTCTCAGTTTTGTGGAATTGTACGAAAAGAAAATCATTCATTCCTGAAGAATATTTATAGCAGGTACACAAAAATACTTATTAGGCAAATAATGGTGGTAATGCATTTATGCTAAAAAAAAAAATTAAATATCTGAACATATTGTATGATGCATATATATATATGGTATGTACGCACTAAGTAGGTACTTGTATTTAATTCCTTTATTAAATAAACTAATAAAAGTGGGTTGTCTTATTTTATAATTTTATAATTTTAAAATATCTTATATTTGTGTAAAATATAGTACTTACTGTAAAGTTTGAATTTGTCATCCTAGATTTGAAAACAATTTAATCTGGCCACCCTATAATAGATGTTATTGTATTTTACATGCAACTATAATATAATTAGATATCCAAAAATGTTTTATAAGATGCAATGATTGGTGGTTCAAGATGATGTCGGCGCACTATTTGTTTTATTACTCTGACCCACTCGCAACATAGCAAATTTATGTTTTGCAGAACCGACTTTGTGTTATTACTTTTAATTTGAAAGTAAATTCACCTATTATCAAACTTTAAGTTTAAAACAATACCTGTATCCCTATGTTGGTTATTTCATGATATTATAATTAATATGTAAGTTATGAGCTTGTAAATTATTATAATTTAAAAATACATCAAATTGTACACATGCTCAGAGAGAGAAAATAAATGGTGTGCTGAAATCATCTTAAAGATATTTAATTTACCAATGCATTTTAAAATAAGTACTTATTATTGTTATAATATTTTAGATTCATCGTATAATTTTATACATATTTTGAATAGGTACGATGAAATTGAATGGGTAGGGAAGTCACTTTTCCATGTATATTTTTTAATTATTTAATTATGATATTGTCAGGTTGTTTTTACTTAAAAGAAACTCATCCTAAAATAACTTACCGTTATGATTTAAAAAAAAATTGTTTATTATAAAATAAGTTATTGCCATGGAAAAAACCAAGGAGACCTATCATGTATATTTTGTAATGGTCGGTATGGCTGGACATGAAAAAATATTGTAATTTATAGATGTAATACTACTTTACCTTTACTTTTTCTATCTTGAACCTTGTATTATTTTTTAAAAAAATTATTAAATTAGATATATGTCTATTATAACCCATCCTGCTACAAATGTTTGTGCAAAATACAATCTATAATATGTACAACGTACCATGGCCCATTTGTGGTATATTGTAGTATTACCTAGGTAGTAAGTACTTACATGCTTAATAGTATACCAGCAAACTGTATGTTATCATATCATGATACATTTCAATATTTCAAAATATTATTAAATTGTTATTTAAAAATATTAATTATTTATGAATGAATTATATAATGATGAATGGTTTGCTTGTAAAATATTATTTTAACATAATTTGTCATTTAACCATGTGGCATTGACAATTCATTATAGGTTAACAATGTAGGTATTAACAGGTCATGGTTTCAAACATGTATCTAGTCCCTGACTCAGTGGTCCTAGTACCAAAACAATTATGTCAATCAATATTCAATTGTGATAAGAAAATTAATTACATTCTTCTCTTTAAACTATTTTAGACAAGCATCATAAATTGTGTTACAACTAAATTTTAAAACAATTGTGCCGTTGAGTATCTACCTATTTTAGTTTTTGGAAAAAAAAGTTATGCAAATTATTTATTTATTACTTTATTATTCATTAACTAGTAATTCAAAATTAATAAAATAATAAATTGCTGATACAAAAATTACATAAATATAGAGTAAATAGTAAATAGTAAATACAAAATATATGTGTAGAATTAATCAAATTAGATTACACGCACGCTTTATAGTTTTATGAATGTATCAATCATAAAAAAAAAACTTTTGATTGGTTTTCTTAATATGTACTTCATTGCGATTAAATAAACATTTGATTCGTAGTGATCGCTGTGCACGACTAATATTTGTAGTTGCAATTTTAAATAATGCGTGAGTAACCTTTTAAATACCTACCTCAGTTAACTTTTTACCACGATCTATTAATATCTACTTAACACGTGTAGCACAACTTTATCGAGATATGTTGTACTACCTCTTCTTAGCCCATCAAAATAGATTTCATTGCTCTTGTAATTGTATCTGGATCTGGACTTAGCCCGAAAGGCATGGGCAAAAACTCATAGTGATCGGATTTCGTCAAAAACATAATTTTATGAACTGCACTATCTATCTTCATTTGGTGATATCCTCAGACCAAATCTAGAGTAGAAAAGTATTTGGATGACCCTAAGGACTCTAAAATATCCTGTAAGTTTGGTAGGTAATAGGCTTCGGTTTCCGTAACTTAATGTATAATGTATTGTCTACATTGCAATAAAATTCAAAAATAACTATTTGGATTTTTGGGTTTGCTATAGATTTGTATTTTTGCATGTGGCGATGTCTCAAGTGATAAACATTGTTAATATAACTTTCATGAAATAATTCCAATTGGGATTTAAAAATTAGAATGTTCTCATCTCATATAATAATATTATCTAGTATTATCTCGTATATAATACTCGTCAATATTTTCACAAACTTCAAGGTGAAATAATAGACTTTTTAAGAAAATTATACTAGTAATCGGTTTGTATATAATATCTTAAACATTGGTAGGTGGGTGCCTATATATTTTTCTTGCATGCTCATGATTGTATTATATATTTTAATTGTTATGTATAGCGTCATGCTGTTTTAAAACCACGCTCTTGATTTCTGTTATTTTTTGACAACTCGTTGCTATTGACATTTGATATTGATCATCATTCATCACTGTTCAATTTTTGCGAGAAAAAATCATTGTAGCCCAATGTCATAATGAAGCCAGCAATGGAATTTTCACGGTACATTAATTCTATTTCATATTTCGTTATTGTTTATCTCCTCAGTTCTGAATAACGTCCTTGTTCAAAATACAATAAACAATACCTATCTATAGATATCGATATGGAATAATGATAATAATAATAGTAATAACCGAAAATAATAAACTGACAGTGATGATGATGGTACTCGATGTGGTACAAACTCAGTAGGAAATTATACTGTTATGTACTGTGGCTTTAGTGTGGTTGAACGTAAACAATAATACGATTTTTTTCTATTTAACTTTGCAGGCTTATGTATAAAACCTTGGAAGTTGTAACCTTATACCTTGCGGTAGTAAAATTTATTTCCGATTAAAATTGGAGTTTGTCTTGGTGAATAAATATTTGTGAGATTTGAAATGATGACTGCCCAGACCTTCTGAAATTAGTAAAATTGGATTGTGCTTTATTTCTTGAGCGAAATTCTAAAATTAGAAGATTTTGATATTTAGTTAAATATACTTATACAAGTATACAACAAAATACTTAATGAGCATTTTAAATTTTTATTTATCGCCATTTTCTAATAATTTACCGTTATATTTTTTATCTTTTATTAGGTACTGATGCCTGACAATTTTAGTATGTATTCCATTTTTTTGTGTGCTTATTATTACATGTGAACAGTATAATACCGTTTACTGTTAGCTCGCTTCCAAATATTATAATTATGTCCTATTAATCTAAAATTCTACAAACGTAAGAATGTAATATATATTATTTAGATATGTGTGGATTGTTGGTACTGTACACTATATCCAAATATATATGTTTTGTGTAAATCATCGTATAAGTTAAGCTATTGTAAAATTACTAATTGCTT